TGACACACACAGTGACACACACACAGTGACACACAGTGACACACACAGTGACACACACACAGTGACACACACACACAGTGACACACACACACAGTGACACACACACAGTGACACACACACACAGTGACACACACACAGTGACACACACAGTGACACACACACACAGTGACACACACACAGACACACACACACAGTGACACACAGTGACACACACACACACAGTGACACACACAGTGACACACACACAGTGACACACACACAGTGACACACACAGTGACACACACAGTGACACACACACACAGTGACACACACACAGTGACACACACAGTGACACACACACACACAGTGACACACACACAGTGACACACACAGTGACACACACAGTGACACACACACAGTGACACACACACAGTGACACACACAGAGTGACACACACACACACAGTGACACACACACAGTGACACACACAGTGACACACACAGTGACACACACACAGTGACACACACAGTGACACACACAGTGACACACACACACAGTGACACACACACAGACACACACACAGTGACACACAGTGACACACACACAGTGACACACACAGTGACACACACACACAGTGACACACACAGTGACACACACACACAGTGACACACACACAGTGACACACACAGTGACACACACACACAGTGACACACACAGTGACACCCACACACAGTGACACACACAGTGACACACACAGTGACACACACAGTGACACACACACAGTGACACACACACAGTGACACACACACACAGTGACACACACAGTGACACCCACACACAGTGACACACACAGTGACACACACAGTGACACCCACACTGAGTATCACACACACAGTGACACACACACAGTGAGTGACACAGTGACACACACACAGTGACACACACAGTAAGTAACACACACAGTGAGTGACACACAGTGAGTGACACGGTGAGTGACACAGTGAGTGACACAGTGAGTGACACAGTGATACACCCACACTGAGTATCACACACACAGTGACACACAGTGAGTGACACACAGTGAGTGACACGGTGAGTGACACAGTGAGTGACACAGTGATACACCCACACTGTGAGTATCACACACACAGTGACACAGTGAGTGACACACACAGTGACATACACACACAGTGACACACACAGTGAGTGACACACACACTGACACCCCACCCACACTGTGAGTATCACACACAGTGAGTGAGTGACACACACACAGTGAGTATCACACACACACACTGACACCCCACCCACACTGTGAGTATCACACACACACACACTGACACACACAGTGACACAGTGAGTGACCCACACTGTGAGTGAGTGTCACCCACACTGTGAGTATCACACACACACACACACAGTGAGTGACACACACACACAGTGAGTGACACCCACACTGTGAGTGAGTGACACACACAGTGAGTGACACCCACACACACAGTGAGTGACACACACACAGTGACACCCACACTGTGAGTGAGTGTCACCCACACTGTGAGTATCACACACACACACACAGTGAGTGACACACACACACACACTGACACACACAGTGACACAGTGAGTGTGACACACACACAGTGAGTGTCACCCACACTGTGAGTGACACACACAGTGAGTGACACACACGGTGACACACACAGTGAGTGACACACACACACAGTGACACAGTGAGTGACACCCACACTGTGAGTATCACACACACACAGTGACACAGTGACACACACAGTGAGTGACACACACACAGTGAGTGACACACACACAGTGAGTGACACACACAGTGAGTGACACACAGTGAGTGACACAGTGAGTGTCACACACACACACAGTGTCACCCACACTGTGAGTATCACACACACAGTGTCACCCACACACACACAGTGAGTGTCACCCACACTGTGAGTATCACACACACAGTGACACACACACACACAGTGAGTGACACAGTGAGTGACACACACTGTAAGTATCACACACACTGTCACCCACACTGTGAGTATCACACACACACACGGTGAGTGACACACACAGTGAGTATCACACACACACTGACACACAGTGAGTGTCACCCACACTGTATCACACACACACAGTGAGTATCACACACACACACAGTGAGTGACACACACACACCCACACAGTGAGTGTCACCCACACTGTGAGTATCACACACACACACTGACACACACAGTGAGTGACACACACACAGTATCACACACACAGTGAGTGACACACACAGTGAGTGACACACACACTGACACACACACTGACACACACAGTGAGTGTCACCCACACTGTGAGTATCACACACACAGTATCACACACAGTGAGTATCACACACACACAGTGAGTGTCACCCACACTGTGAGTATCACACACACACACAGTGAGTGACACACACAGTGAGTATCACACCCACACAGTGAGTGTCACCCACACTGTGAGTATCACACACACACAGTGACACACACACTGACACACACACTGACACACACAGTGAGTGTCACCCACACTGTGAGTATCACACACACAGTATCACACACAGTGAGTATCACACCCACACACAGTGAGTGTCACCCACACTGTGAGTATCACACACACACACTGACACCCACACTGTGAGTATCACACACACACACAGTGAGTATCACACACACACACTGACACACACAGTGAGTGACACACACACAGTATCACACACGGTGAGTGTCACCCACACTGTGAGTATCACACACACAGTATCACACACAGTGAGTGTCACCCACACTGTGAGTATCACACACACACACTGACACCCACACTGTGAGTATCACACACACACACAGTGAGTATCACACACACACACTGACACACACACTGACACACTGTGAGTATCACACACACACACAGTGAGTGTCACCCACACTGTGAGTATCACACACACAGTGAGTGTCACCCACACTGTGAGTATCACACACACAGTGAGTGTCACCCACACTGTGAGTATCACACACACAGTGAGTGTCACCCACACTGTGAGTATCACACACACACACAGTGAGTATCACACACACACACTGACACACACACTGACACACTGTGAGTATCACCCACACAGTGAGTGTCACCCACACTGTGAGTATCACACACACAGTGAGTGTCACCCACACTGTGAGTATCACACACACAGTGAGTGTCACCCACACTGTGAGTATCACACACACAGTGAGTGTCACCCACACTGTGAGTATCACACACACAGTGAGTGTCACCCACACTGTGAGTATCACACACACAGTGAGTGTCACCCACACTGTGAGTATCACACACACACACAGTGAGTGACACCCACACTGTGAGTATCACACACACAGTGAGTGTCACCCACACTGTGAGTATCACACACACAGTGAGTGTCACCCACACTGTGAGTGTCACACACACAGTGAGTGTCACCCACACTGTGAGTATCACACACACAGTGAGTGTCACCCACACTGTGAGTATCACACACACAGTGAGTGTCACCCACACTGTGAGTGTCACACACACAGTGAGTGTCACCCACACTGTGAGTATCACACACACAGTGAGTGACACCCACACTGTGAGTATCACACACACAGTGAGTGTCACACACACTGTGAGTATCACACACAGTGAGTGTCACCCACACTGTGAGTATCACACACACACACAGTGAGTATCACACCCACACACAGTGAGTGTCACCCACACTGTGAGTGTCACACACACACACACACTGACACACACAGTGAGTATCACACACACACACACAGTGAGTGTCACACACACACACAGTGAGTATCACACACTGACACACACAGTGAGTATCACACACACACACAGTGAGTGTCACCCACACTGTGAGTATCACACACACACACAGTGAGTATCACACACACACACAGTGAGTATCACACACTGACACACACAGTGAGTATCACACACACACACAGTGAGTATCACACACTGACACACACAGTGAGTATCACACACACACACAGTGAGTATCACACACTGACACACACAGTGAGTATCACACACACACACAGTGAGTATCACACACACAGTATCACACACAGTGAGTGACACACACAGTGAGTGTCACCCACACTGTGAGTATCACACACACACACTGACACACACAGTGACACAGTGACACACACAGTGAGTGACACACACAGTGAGTGTCACCCACACTGTGAGTATCACACACACACACTGACACACACAGTGACACAGTGACACACACAGTGAGTGACACACACACACAGTGAGTGTCACACACACACACAGTGAGTGTCACACACACACACAGTGAGTGTCACACACACACACAGTGAGTGTCACCCACACTGTGAGTATCACACACACACACTGACACACACAGTGACACAGTGACACACACAGTGAGTGACACACACAGTGAGTGTCACACACACACACAGTGAGTGTCACCCACACTGTGAGTATCACACACACACACTGACACACACAGTGACACAGTGACACACACAGTGAGTGACACACACAGTGAGTGTCACACACACACACAGTGAGTGTCACACACACACACAGTGAGTGTCACACACACACACAGTGAGTGTCACACACACACACAGTGAGTGTCACACACACACACTGACACACACAGTGTGAGTGAGTATCACACCCACAGTATCACACACACACCCACACAGTGAGTGTCACCCACACTGTGAGTATCACACCCACACAGTGAGTGTCACCCACACACAGTGAGTGTCACCCACACTGTGAGTATCACACACACAGTATCACACACAGTGAGTATCACACACACCCACAGTATCACACACACTGTGAGTATCACACACTGACACACACAGTGAGTGACACACAGTGAGTATCACACACACACAGTGAGTGTCACCCACACTGTGAGAATCACACACACACACAGTATCACACACACACACAGTGAGTATCACACACACTGTGAGTGTCACCCACACTGTGAGAATCAGCCGATCGTCGTTCTTCAGCAGGTCGTGGCTGCTCTTGCCTCGTCCACGCAGCGTCTACGGTGACATCAACAGCCACCGTTACCATGGTAACATCAACACTGTTACCATGGTGACATCAACAACACTGTTACTATGGTGACAACAACACTGTTACTATGGTGACAACAACAGCCACCGTTACCATGGTAACAGACACCGTTACCATGGTGACAACAACACTGTTACTATGGTGACAACAACACTGTTACTATGGTGACATCAACACTGTTACTATGGTGACAACACTGTTACTTTGGTGACATCAACACTGTTACTATGGTGACAACAACACTGTTACTATGGTGACATCAACACTGTTACTATGGTGACATCAACACTGTTACTATGGTGACAACAACACTGTTACTATGGTGACAACAACACTGTTACTATGGTGACATCAACACTGTTACTATGGTGACAACAACACTGTTACTATGGTGACAACAACACTGTTACTATGGTGACAACAACACTGTTACTATGGTGACAACAACACTGTTACTATGGTGACAACAACACTATTACTATGGTGACAACAACACTGTTACTATGGTGACAACAACACTGTTACTATGGTGACATCAACAACACTGTTACTATGGTGACAACAACACTGTTACTATGGTGACAACAACACTGTTACTATGGTGACATCAACACTGTTACTATGGTGACAACAACACTGTTACTATGGTGACATCAACACTGTTACTATGGTGACATCAACACTGTTACTATGGTGACAACAACACTGTTACTATGGTGACATCAACACTGTTACTATGGTGACATCAACACTGTTACTATGGTGACAACAACACTGTTACCATGGTGACATCAACACTGTTACTATGGTGACATCAACAGACATTGTTACTATGGTGACATCAACACTGTTACTATGGTGACAACACTGTTACTATGGTGACAACAACACTGTTACTATGGTGACATCAACACTGTTACTATGGTGACAACAACACTGTTACTATGGTGACAACAACTGTTACTATGGTGACAACAACACTGTTACTATGGTGACAACAACTGTTACTATGGTGACAACAACACTGTTACTATGGTGACATCAACACTGTTACTATGGTGACAACAACACTGTTACTATGGTGACAACAACACTGTTACTATGGTGACAACAACACTGTTACTATGGTGACATCAACACTGTTACTATGGTGACATCAACACTGTTACTATGGTGACAACAACACTGTTACTATGGTGACATCAACACTGTTACTATGGTGACATCAACACTGTTACTATGGTGACATCAACACTGTTACTATGGTGACATCAACACTGTTACTATGGTGACAACAACACTGTTACTATGGTGACATCAACACTGTTACTATGGTGACATCAACACTGTTACGATGGTGACAACAACACTGTTACCATGGTGACATCAACACTGTTACTATGGTGACATCAACAGACATTGTTACTATGGTGACATCAACACTGTTACTATGGTGACAACAACATTGTTACTATGGTGACATCAACACTGTTACTATGGTGACAACAACACTGTTACTATGGTGACAACAACACTGTTACTATGGTGACATCAACACTGTTACTATGGTGACATCAACACTGTTACTATGGTGACAACAACACTGTTACTTGGGTGACAACAACACTGTTACTATGGTGACATCAACACTGTTACTATGGTGACAACAACACTGTTACTATGGTGACATCAACACTGTTACTATGGTGACAACAACACTGTTACTATGGTGACATCAACAACACTGTTACTATGGTGACATCAACACTGTTACTATGGTGACATCAACACTGTTACTATGGTAACAGACACCGTTACCATGGTGACAACAACACTGTTACCATGGTAACAGACACCGTTACCATGGTGACATCAACAGACATTGTTACTATGGTGACATCAACACTGTTACTATGGTGACAACAACACTGTTACTATGGTGACAACAACACTGTTACTATGGTGACATCAACACTGTTACTATGGTGACATCAACAACACTGTTACTATGGTGACATCAACACTGTTACTATGGTGACATCAACACTGTTACTATGGTGACATCAACACTGTTACTATGGTGACATCAACAACACTGTTACTATGGTGACATCAACAACACTGTTACTATGGTGACAACAACACTGTTACTATGGTGACATCAACACTGTTACTATGGTGACATCAACACTGTTACTATGGTGACATCAACACTGTTACTATGGTGACATCAACACTGTTACTATGGTGACATCAACAGACACTGTTACTATGGTGGCCGTGGTTGCCATGGCCACAGTTGCCGTGACCACGGTTGCCATGGCCACGGTTGCCGTGGCCACGGTTGCCATGGCCACGGTTGCCGTGGCGACCCCTCACCTTGCTCACTCGGACCGCCTCCTCCTCCTCCTCCTCAGCCTCCTCCCCGAACGAGAGGAGGCTGAAGTTCCTGTGGGAGGGGTCACACAGAGGTCACGCAGAGGTCACTCAGGGGTCACACAGGGGGCGCGTAGAGGCCAAGGGGTTACACAGGGGTCACGCAGAGGTCACTCAGGGGTCACGCAGGGGTCACGTAGGGGCCAAGGGGTTACACAGGGGTCACTCAGGGGTCTCACAGGGGTCACGTAGGGGCCAAGGGGTTACACAGGGGTCACTCAGGGGTCACACAGAGGTCATGCAGAGGCCAAGGGGTTACACAGGGGTCACACAGGGGTCACGTAGGGCCAAGGGGTTACACAGGGGTCACACAGGGGTCACGTAGGGGTCAAGGTGTTACACAGGGGTCACAGTCACAGGTGGGGGGGTGGGTAGTGGTGGTAGTGGTGGTTAGTGTGCTAGTTAGTGGTAGTTAGTGGTAGTTAGTGTACTAGTTAGAGTACTAGTTAGTGGTAGTTAGTACTAGTTAGTGGTAGTTATAGTATTCATTAGTGTACTAGTTATAGCGCTGGTTAGTGTGCTAGTGTACTAGTTAGTACTATTTAGTACTAGTTAGTGTACTAGTTAGTGTACTAGTGTACTAGTTAGTGGTAGTTAGTGTATGAGTCAGTGTACTAGTTACTGGTAGTTGGTGGTGCTAGTTAGTGTACTAGTTATTGCTAGTTATAGTGCTAGTTAGAGGACTAGTTAGTACTCGTTAGTGTACTAGTTATAGTGCTAGTTAGTGGTAGTTAGTGGTGCTAGTTAGAGTACTAGTTATAGTGTTAGTTATAGTGCTAGTTAGTGTACTAGTTAGTACTATTTAGTGTACTCGTTAGTGGTAGTTGGTGCTAGTTAGTGGTAGTTATAGTACTAGTTAGTGTACTAGTTATAGTGATAGTGGTAGTTAGTGCTAGTTCGTGTGCTAGTTAGTGGTAGTTAGTGCTAATTAGAGTACTAGTTAGCGGTAGTTATAGTACTAGTTAGTGTACTAGTTAGTGCTAGTTAGTGTGCTAGTTATAGTACTAATTCGTGTACTAGTTATAGTGATAGTAGTAGTTATAGTGCTAGTTATAGTACTAGTTAGTGTACTAGTTAGTGGTGGTTAGAGGTACTAGTTAGTGATAGTTAGTGTACTAGTTAGTGGCACTAGTTATTGTACTAGTTATAGTACTAGTTATAGTGGTAGTTAGTGGTACTAGTTTGAGTACTAGTTATAGTACTAGTTATAGTGGTGTTTATAGTACTAGTTAGAGCACTAGTTATAGTACTAGTTAGTGGTAGTTAGTGTACTAGTTAGTGCACTAGTTATAGTGCTAGTTATAGTGCTAGTTAGTGGTGGTTAGTGGTAGTTATAGTGCTAGTTATAGTGCTAGTTATAGTACTAGTTAGTGTACTAGTTAGTGGTAGTTATAGTACTAGTTAGTGGTAGTTATAGTACTAGTTATAGTACTAGTTATAGTGGTAGTTATAGTGCTAGTTATAGTGCTAGTTATAGTACTAGTTATAGTGCTAGTTATAGTGCTAGTTAGTGTACTAGTTATAGTGCTAGTTATAGTGCTAGTTAGTGGTGGTTAGTGGTAGTTATAGCGCTAGTTATAGTGCTAGTTACAGTACTAGTTAGTGGTAGTTATAGTACTAGTCATAGTACTAGTTATAGTACTAGTTATAGTGGTAGTTATAGTACTAGTTATGGTACTAGTAATAGTGCTAGTTAGTGTACTAGTTAGTGCACTAGTTATAGTGCTAGTTAGTGCTAGTTAGTGGTGGTTAGTGGTAGTTATAGTGCTAGTTATAGTGCTAGTTATTGTGCTAGTTATAGTACTAATTAGTGTACTAGTTAGTGGTAGTTATAGTGGTAGTTATAGTGATAGTTAGTGGTAGTTATAGTGCTAGTTATAGTGGTAGTTATAGTGATAGTGTGCTAGTTAGTGCACTAGTTATAGTGCTAGTTATAGTGGTAATTAGTGGTGGTTAGTGCTAGTTAGTGGTAGTTAGAGTGCTAGTTAGTGGTGGTTAGTGCTAGTTAGTGGTAGTTAGAGTGCTAGTTAGTGGTAGTTAGTGCACTGGTTAGTGTACTAGTTAGTGGTAGTTAGTGTACTAGTTATAGTGATAGTTAGTGGTAGTTATAGTACTACTTATAGTACTAGTCAGTGTACTAGTTATAGTGCTAGTTAGTGGTGGTTAGTGCTAGTTCGTGGAAGTTAGAGTGCTAGTTAGTGGTGGTTAGTGCACTAGTTATAGTACTAGTTAGTGTACTAGTTATAGTGCTAGTTATAGTGCTAGTTAGTGGTGGTTAGTGGTAGTTATAGTGCTAGTTATAGTGCTAGTTAGTGGTGGTTATAGTGCTAGTTATAGTGCTAGTTATAGTGCTAGTTAGTGGTGGTTATAGTACTAGTTAGTGGTGGTTATAGTGATAGTTATAGTGCTAGTTAGTGGTGGTTATAGTGCTAGTTAAAGTGCTAGTTAGTGGTAGTTAGAGTGCTAGTTAGTGGTGGTTTGTGCACTAGTAATAGTGATAGTTATAGTACTAGTTAGTGGTGGTTAGTGGTTACTTGGTTGCTCTGGGGGTGACGTCTCTGGCCGGCTCCGTCTCCGTGGGGAACGTCGTCACGGAGCGAGGAACGATGTCAACAAACACGTTACTCAACACCTGAATCATCAACAACAACAACATCATCAACAACATCATCATCATCATCAACTACTACTACAACATCAACAACAACATCATCATCAACTACTACTACAACAACAACATCAACAACAATAACAACGTCAACATCATCAACTACTACTACAACATCAACAACAAACACGTTACTCAACACCTGAATCATCATAGTCAACAACAAACAACATCAACAACGTCAACATCATCATCAACAACAACGTCAACATCATCATCATCAACTACTACAACAACAACAACAACAAACACGTTACTCAACACCTGCATCATCATCGTCAACAACAACAACGTCAACATCATCATCAACTACTACAACAACAACAAACACGTTACTCAACACCTGCATCATCATCGTCAACAACAACAACATCAACAACAACATCATCATCAACTACTACAACAACAACAACGTCATCATCATCATCAACTACTACAACAACAACAACAACAAACACGTTACTCACCACCTGCATCATCATCGTCAACAACAACAACATCAACAACAACATCATCATCAACTACTACAACAACAACAAACATGTTACTCAACACCTGCATCATCATCGTCAACAACAACAACATCAACAACAACATCAACAACAACAACAACAACAACAACGTCAACATCATCATCAACTACTACTACTACAACAACAACAACGTCAACATCATCATCAACTACAACAACAACAACAACGTCAACAACAACAACAACATCATCAACTACTACTACAACAACAACAACAAACACGTTACTCAACACCTGCATCATCATCGTCAACAACGTCAACATCATCAACAACAACAACAACATCATCATCAACTACTACTACAACAACGTCAACATCATCATCAACTACTACTACAACAACAACAACAAACACGTTACTCAACACCTGCATCATCATCGTCAACAACATCAACATCATCAACAACAACAACAACATCATCATCAACTACTACTACAACAACAACATCATCATCATCAACTACTACTACAACAACAACAACAAACACGTTACTCAACACCTGCATCATCATCGTCAACAACATCAACATCATCAACAACAACAACAACAACATCATCATCAACTACTACTACAACAACAACAACAACATCATCATCATCAACTACTACTACAACAACAACAACATCATCAACTACTACAACAACAACAACAAACACGTTAACAACTGCATCATCATCGTCAACAACAACAACAACGTCAACATCATCATCAACTACAACAACAACAACATCAACAACAAACAACATCATCATCATCAACTACTACAACAACAACAACATCATCATCATCAACTACTACTACAACAACAACAACAAACACGTTACTCAACACCTGCATCATCATCGTCAACAAACACGTTACACAACAACAACAACATCAACAACACCTACAACAACAACAACAACCAACAACAACATCAACAACAACATCAACAACAACACCACCACCACCAACAACAACAAACACGTTACACAACACCTACAACAACAACACCTACAATAACAACATCATCATCAACTACTACAACAACATCACCACCATCACCACCACCATCACCACCATCACCACCATCACCACCACCATCACCACCATCACCACCATCACCATCACCACCATCACCACCATCACCACCACCACCATCACCACCATCACCACCATCATCACCACCATCACCACCACCATCACCACCATCATCACCACCACCACCACCATCATCACCACCATCACCACCATCACCACCACCACCACCATCACCACCACCACCATCACCACCATCACCACCATCACCACCACCACCATCACCACCATCACCACCATCATCACCACCATCACCACCACCATCACCACCATCACCACCACCACCATCACCACCACCATCACCACCACCATCACCACCACCATCACCACCACCATCACCACCACCACCACCATCACCACCACCACCATCATCACCACCATCACCATCACCACCATCACCATCACCACCACCATCACCACCATCACCACCACCATCACCACCACCATCACCACCACCATCACCACCACCACCATCACCACCATCACCACCACCACCATCATCACCACCATCACCACCATCACCACCACCATCACCATCACCACCACCACCATCATCACCATCATCACCACCATCACCACCACCATCACCACCATCACCACCACCATCACCATCATCACCACCATCATCACCACCACCACCATCACCACCACCACCATCACCACCACCATCACCATCACCACCACCACCATCATCACCATCATCACCACCATCACCACCACCACCATCACCACCACCACCATCACCACCACCACCACCACCATCACCACCACCACCATCACCACCACCACCACCATCACCACCACCATCACCACCACCATCACCACCATCACCACCATCATCACCATCATCACCACCATCACCACCACCATCACCACCACCATCACCACCACCATCACCACCACCATCACCACCACCACCATCACCTCAGTGCTCCGAATGACGTGCGGTCTGATTGGTCGATCGTTTGGCCCGATCTCCACCTCGGCCAATCGCAGCACGTTATACAGCGTGTCACCCACCACCTGCGACAGCCAATCACAGAGCGGTACACAGCGTGTCACCCACCACCTGCGACAGCCAATCACAGAGCTGTACACTCATATCAACGTGGTGGTGGTTGTTGCTATGACGATGGTGGTTGTGGTTGCTATGACGATGGTGATGGTGGTTGTTGCTATGACGATGGCGGTGGTTGTTGTTGCTATGACGACGGCGGTGGTTGTTGCTATGACGATGGTGGTGATGGTGGTTGTTGCTATGACGATGGTGGTGGTGGTTGCTATGACGATGGTGGTTGTTGCTATGACGATGGTGGTTGTTGCTATGACGATGGCGGTGGTTGTTGCTTTGACGATGGTGGTGGTTGTTGTTGCTATGACGATGGTGGTGGTTGTTGTTGCTATGACGATGGTGATGGTTGTTGTTGCTATGACGATGGCGGTGGTTGTTGCTATGACGATGGTGGTTGTTGCTATGACGATGGTGGTGATGGTGGTTGTTGCTATGACGATGGTGGTTGTTGTTGTTGCTATGACGATGGTGATGGTTGTTGTTGCTATGACGATGGCGGTGGTTGTTGCTATGACGATGGTGGTTGTTGCTATGACGATGGTGGTGATTGTTGTTGCTATGACGATGGTGATGGTGGTTGTTGCTATGACGATGGCGGTGGTGGTTGCTATGACGATGGTGGTGGCTGTTGCTATGACGACGGTGGTGGTTGTTGTTGCTATGACGATGGTGGTTGTTGTTGCTATGACGATGGCGGTGATGGTTGTTGATATGACGATGGTGGTGGTTGTTGTTGCTATGACAATGGTGGTTGTTGCTATGACGATGGTGGTGGTTGTTGCTATGACGATGATGGTGGTTGCTGTTGTTGTTATGACGATGGTGGTGGTTGTTGTTGCTATGACGATGGTGATGGTTGTTGCTATGGCGATAGTTGTTGCTATGACGCCGGCGGCGGCTGTTGCTATGACGATGGCAGCGGCGGCGGCGGTTGCCATGGCGACACCTTGCCGAAGATGGAGTGCTTCCCGTTGAGCTCGTCTGCGCGGTCCAGGGTGATGAAGAACTGGCTGCCATTGTCGCCGGGGCGACTCGTTGCCATGGCGACGAGACCCCTCCGCGTGAAGCGGAGGCGCTGGTGGTACTCGTCCTGGAAGGGGGGGGGGGGGGTCCGTCGCCACGGCAACGGCGGTGAGCACGGTAACCATGGTGACCACGGTGAGCACGGTAACCATGGTGACCACGGTGAGCACGGTAACCATGGTGACCACGGTGAGCACGGTAACCATGGTGACCACGGTGAGCACGGTAACCATGGTGACCACGGTGAGCACGGTAACCATGGTGACCACGGTGAGCACGGTAACCATGGTGACCACGGTGAGCATGGTGATCACGGTAACCATAGTGACCATAGTGAACACAGTAAGAATAGTAACCATAGTAACCAGTACCCACAGTAACCACGGTAACCACTTTAGCAACCGCAGCAACCATAGTAACCATAGCAACCGTTACGAACATGGTAACCATAGTAACCACGGTAACCATAGCGACCACTACTATCACTCCTACTACAGCCATGTCTCTGTGTGAGTCTCTGTGTGAGTCTCTGTGTGTGTGTCTCTGTGTGTGTCTCTGTGTGTGTCTCTGTGTGTGTCTCTGTGTGTGTCTCTGTGTGTGTCTCTGTGTGTGTCTCTGTGTGTGTATCTGTGTGTGTCTGTGTGTGTGTATCTGTGTGTGTCTCTGTGTGAGTCTCTGTGTGAGTCTCTGTGTGAGTCTCTGTGTGTGTCTCTGTGTGTGTCTCACTGTGTGTCTGTGTCTCTGTGTGTCTGTGTGTCTCTGTGTGTCTGTGTGTCTCTGTGTGTCTGTGTGTCTGTGTGTCTCTGTGTGTCTGTGTGTGTCTCTGTGTGTCTCTGTGTGTCTCTGTGTGTCTCTGTGTGTCTGTGTGTCTCTGTGTGTCTGTGTGTCTCTGTGTGTCTGTGTGTCTCTATGTGTCTGTGTGTCTCTGTGTGTCTCTGTGTGTCTCTGTTTCTCTGTGTGTCTGTGTGTCTCTGTGTGTCTGTGTGTCTCTGTGTGTCTGTGTGTCTCTGTGTGTCTCTGTGTCTCTGTGTGTCTCTGTGTGTCTGTGTGTCTCTGTGTGTCTCTGTTTCTCTGTGTGTCTGTGTGTCTCTGTGTCTCTGTGTGTCTCTTTGTCTCTGTGTGTCTGTGTGTCTCTGTGTGTCTGTGTTTCTCTGTGTGTCTGTGTGTCTCTGTGTCTCTGTGTGTCTCTTTGTCTCTGTGTGTCTGTGTGTCTCTGTGTGTCTCTGTGTCTCTGTGTGTCTCTGTGTCTCTGTGTGTCTCTGTGTGTCTCTGTGTCTCTGTGTGTCTGTGTGTCTCTGTGTGTCTTTGTGTCTCTGTGTGTCTCTGTGTCTCTGTGTGTCTCTGTGTCTCTGTGTCTCACTGTGTGTGTCTCTGTGTGTCTCTGTGTCTCTGTGTGTCTCTGTGTCTCTGTGTGTGTCTCTGTGTGAGTGTGTCTCTGTGTGTGTCTGTGTGTCTCACTGTGTGTGTCTCACTGTGTGTCTGTGTGTCTCTGTGTGAGTGTCTCACTCTGAAGGGTTGTCCGTAGACACTGTCTCCCCCGTCCCCGGTCCCCGTGGGGTCTCCTCCCTGGACAATGAATCCCGGAACCACGCGGTGGAACGGAGACCCATTGTAGTAGCCTAGACACACTCACACAGAGAGACACATTGTAGTAGCCTAGACACACTCACACAGTGAGACAGAGACACCGTGAGACACACTCACACACTCACACAGTGAGACACATTGTAGTAGCCTAGACACACTCACACAGTGAGACAGAGACACAGTGAGACACACTCACACACTCACACAGTGAGACACATTGTAGTAGCCTAGACACACTCACACAGAGAGACACATTGTGGTAGCCTAGACACACTCACACAGTGAGACACATTGTAGTAGCCTAGACACACTCACACAGAGAGACACATTGTAGTAGCCTAGACACACTCACACAGTGAGACAGAGACACCGTGAGACACACTCACACACTCACACAGTGAGACACATTGTAGTAGCCTAGACACACTCACACAGTGAGACAGAGACACAGTGAGACACACTCACACACTCACACAGTGAGACACATTGTAGTAGCCTAGACACACTCACACAGAGAGACACATTGTGGTAGCCTAGACACACTCACACAGTGAGACACACACAGTGAGACACAGTGAGACACACAGTGATACACTCACACAGTGAGACACTCACACAGTGAGACACTCACACAGTGAGACACTCACACAGTGAGACACACATTGTAGTAGCCTAGACACACTCACAGAGAGAGACAACACAGAGACACACACACACAGTGAGATACACAGTGAGAGGCACACATTGTAGTAGCCTAGACACACTCACACAGTGTGACACAGTGAGACACACACAGAGACACACAGTGAGACACACACAGTGTGACACAGAGAGACACACAGTGAGACACAGAGAGAGACACATTGTAGTAGCCTAGACACACTCACACAGTGAGACAGAGACACAGAGACACACACAGTGAGACACAGTGAGACCCATTGTAGTAGCCCAGACACACTCACAGAGAGACACACACAGTGAGACACACACACAGAGAGACACATTGTAGTAGCCTAGACACACTCACACAGTGAGACAACACACAGTGAGACACACACACAGTGAGACACACACAGAGAGACACACAGAGAGACACACACACAGTGAGACACACACACACACAGACACAATGTAGTAGCCTAGACACACTCACACAGAGAGACACACATTGTAGTAGCCTAGACACACTCACACAGAGATACACATTGTAGTAGCCTAGACACACTCACACAGTGAGACACATTGTAGTAGCCTAGACACACTCACACAGTGAGACACATTGTAGTAGCCGAGACACACTCACACAGAGAGACACATTGTAGTAACCTAGACACACTCACACAGTGATACACATTGTAGTAGCCTAGACACACTCACACAGTGAGACACATTGTAGTAGCCTAGACACACTCACACAGTGAGACACATTGTAGTAACCTAGACACACTCACACAGAGATACACATTGTAGTAGCCTAGACACACTCACACAGTGAGACACATTGTAGTAGCCTAGACACACTCACACAGTGAGACACATTGTAGTAGCCTAGACACACTCACGCAGAGATACACATTGTAGTAACCTAGACACACTCACACAGAGAGACACACATTGTAGTAGCCTAGACACACTCACACAGTGAGACACATTGTAGTAGCCTAGACACACTCACACAGTGAGACACATTGTAGTAGCCTAGACACACTCACACAGTGAGACACATTGTAGTAGCCTAGACACACTCACACAGTGAGGCACATTGTAGTAGCCTAGACACACTCACACAGTGAGACACATTGTAGTAGCCTAGACACACTCACACAGTGAGACACATTGTAGTAGCCTAGACACACTCACACAGAGAGACACATTGTAGTAGCCTAGACACACTCACACAGTGAGACACATTGTAGTAGCCTAGACACACTCACACAGTGAGACACATTGTAGTAGCCTAGACACACTCACACAGTGAGACACATTGTAGTAGCCTAGACACACTCACACAGTGAGACACATTGTAGTAGCTTAGACACACTCACACAGAGAGACACATTGTAGTAGCCTAGACACACTCACACAGTGAGACACATTGTAGTAGCCTAGACACACTCACACAGTGAGACACACAGTGAGACACACACAGAGACACACACAAAGACACACACAGAGACACAGTGAGACACACAGAGACACACAGACACACAGAGACACAGTGAGACACAGAGACATAGTGAGACACAGAGAAACACACACAGATACACACAGTGAGACACACAGAGAGAGACACAGTGAGACACTCACAGTGAGACAGAGACATTGTAGTAGCCTAGAGACACTCACAGTGAGACACACACAGAGACACAGTGAGACAACACATTGTAGTAGCAAGACACACTCACACAGTGAGACACTCACACACAGTGAGACACACACACAGTGAGACACACAGACACACACAGTGAGACAGTGAGACACACAGAGACACACACACAGACCCATTGTAGTAGCCTAGACACACTCACACAGTGTGACACACACAGTGAGACACACACACACAGTGAGACACACACATTGTAGTAGCCTAGACACACTCACACAGTGAGACATTGTAGTAGCCTAGACACACTCACACAGAGAGAGACACACAGAGAGAGACACACACAGTGAGACACACACATAGTGAGACACACATTGTAGTAGCCTAGAGACACTCACAGAGATTCAGAGACAGTGAGACACAGAGACACACACAGACACACACACAGACACACAGAGACACACAGAGACTCACACAGAGACACAGAGACACACACAGAGACAGACACAGAGACACACAGAGACTCACACAGAGACACACACAGAGACACACAGTGAGACACACACAGAGACACACACAGAGAGACACAGACACACAGAGACACAGTGAGACACACAGTGAGACACAGTGAGACACACAGTGAGACACACAGATAGACAACACAGAGACACAGTGAGACACAGTGAGACACAGTGAGACACACAGTGAGACACACACAGAGACACAGTGAGACACACAGTGAGACACACAGTGAGACACACACAGTGAGACTCACAGACACACACAGAGACACACAGTGAGACACACACACAGACACACACAGAGACACACAGTGAGACACACAGAGACACACAGTGAGACACAGTGAGACATAGGCTAGTGGAGTGACTGAGTGAGTGTGTGACTGAGTGAGTGAGTTACTGAGTGAGTGACTGAGTGAGTGTGTGACTGAGTGAGTGAGTGAGTGACCGAGTGAGTGTGTGACTGAGTGAGTGACTGAGTGAGTGACTGAGTGGGTGACTGAGTGACTGACCGAGTGAGTGAGTGACTGAGTGAGTGTGTGACTGAGTGAGTGAGTGACTGAGTGAGTGAGTGGCTGAGTGAGTGAGTGACTGAGTGAGTGACTGAGTGAGTGACTGACTGACTGAGTGAGTGAGTGACTGAGTGAGTTAGTGACTGAGTGAGTGAGTGGTGAGTGAGTGACTGAGTGAGTGAGTGACTGAGTGAGTGACTGACTGACTGACTGAGTGACTCAGTGAGTGACTGAGTGACTGAGTGGGTGACTGAGTGACTGAGTGAGTGACCGAGTGAGTGTGTGACTGAGTGAGTGAGTGAGTGACTGAGTGAGTGAGTGGCTGAGTGAGTGAGTGGTGAGTGAGTGACTGAGTGAGTGAGTGACTGAGTGAGTGACTGACTGTGTGACTGAGTGAGTGAGTGAGTGACTGAGTGAGTGAGTGACTGACTGAGTGAGTGACTGACTGAGTGAGTGAGTGACTGAGTAAGTTAGTGACTGAGTGAGTGAGTGGTGAGTGAGTGACTGAGTGAGTGACTGACTGTGTGACTGAGTGAGTGAGTGACTGAGTGAGTGACTGAGTGTCTGAGTGACTGAGTGAGTGACTGAGTGAGTGACTAAGTGACTGAGTGAGTGACTGAGTGAGTGACTAAGTGAGTGACTGAGTGAGTGACTGAGTGAGTGAGTAAGTGAGTGAGTAAGTGAGTGACTGAGTGAGTGACTGAGTGAGTGACTGAGTGAGTGACTCAGTGATGGAGTGTCTGACTGAGTGACTGAGTGACTAAGTGAGTGACTGAGTGAGTGACTGAGTGAGTGACTGAGTGAGTTACTGAGTGACTGAGTGAGTGACTAAGTGACTGACTAAGTGAGTGACTGAGTGAGTGACTGAGTGAGTGACTAAGTGACTGAGTGAGTGACTGAGTGAGTGACTGAGTGAGTAACTGAGTGAGTAACTGAGTGAGTGACTGAGTGAGTGACTAAGTGAGTGACTGAGTGACTGAGTGAGTGACTGAGTGAGTGACTGAGTGACTAAGTGAGTGACTGAGTGAGTGACTAAGTGACTGACTAAGTGAGTGACTGAGTGAGTGACTGAGTGAGTGACTAAGTGACTGAGTGAGTTACTGAGTGACTAAGTGAGTGACTGAGTGAGTGACTAAGTGACTGAGTGAGTTACTGAGTGACTAAGTGAGTGACTGAGTGAGTGACTAAGTGACTGAGTGAGTTACTGAGTGACTAAGTGAGTGACTGAGTGAGTGACTAAGTGACTGACTGAGTGAGTTACTGAGTGACTAAGTGAGTGACTGAGTGACTGAGTAAGTGACTGAGTGAGTGACTGAGTGAGTGACTGAGTGAATGAGTGACTGAGTGACTGAGTGAGTGACTAAGTGAGTGACTGAGTGAGTGACTGAGTGACTAAGTGAGTGAGTGACTGAGTGAGTGACTGAGTGAGTGACTGAGTGAGTGACTGAGTGACTCAGTGAGTGAGTGACTGACTGAGTGAGTGAGTGACTGAGTGACTAAGTGAGTGACTGAGTGAGTGACTGAGTGAGTGACTGAGTGACTGAGTGAGTGAGTTACTGAGTGACTAAGTGAGTGACTGAATGAGTGACTAAGTGACTGACTAAGTGAGTGACTGAGTGAGTGACTGAGTGAGTGACTAAGTTACTGAGTGAGTGACTGAGTGAGTGACTGAGTGAGTAACTGAGTGAGTGACTGAGTGAGTGACTAAGTGAGTGACTAAGTGACTGAGTGAGTTACTGAGTGACTAAGTGAGTGACTGAGTGAGTGACTAAGTGACTGAGTGAGTTACTGAGTGACTAAGTGAGTGACTGAGTGAGTGACTAAGTGACTGACTGAGTGAGTTACTGAGTGACTAAGTGAGTGACTGAGTGACTGAGTAAGTGACTGAGTGAGTGACTGAGTGAGTGACTGAGTGAGTGAGTGACTGAGTGACTGAGTGAGTGACTAAGTGAGTGACTGAGTGAGTGACTGAGTGACTAAGTGAGTGAGTGACTGACTGAGTGACTGAGTGAGTGAGTGAGTGACTGAGTGAGTGTCTGACTGACTGACTGAGTGAGTGAGTGAGCGACTGAGTGACTGAGTTAGTGACTGACTGAGTGACTGAGTGAGTGACTGAGTGACTGACTAAGTGAGTGACTGAGTGACTAAGTGAGTGACTGACTAAGTGAGTGACTGACTAAGTGAGTGACTGAGTGAGTGACTGAGTGAGTGAGTGAGTGACTGAGTGAGTGACTGAGTGACTAAGTGAGTGACTGAGTGAGTGACTGAGTGAGTGACTGAGTGACTGAGTGAGTGAGTGACTGAGTGACTAAGTGACTGACTGAGTGACTGAGTGACTAAGTGAGTGACTGATTGAGTGACTGAGTAACTGACTGAGTGAGTGACTGAGTGACTGACTGAGTGACTGACTAAGTGAGTGACTGAGTGACTAAGTGAGTGACTCAGTGAGTGACTGACTGAGTGAGTGACTGACTGAGTGAGTGACTGAGTGAGTGACTGAGTGACTAAGTGAGTGACTGAGTGAGTGAGTGACTGAGTAAGTGACTGAGTGAGTGACTGAGTGAGTGACTGAGTGAGTGACTGAGTGACTGAGTAACTGACTGACTGAGTGACTGACTGAGTGAGTGACTGACTGACTGAGTAACTGACTGAGTGAGTGACTGAGTGAGTGACTGACTGAGTGACTGAGTGACTGAGTGAGTGACTGAGTGAGTGACTGACTGAGTGAGTGACTGAGTGAGTGACTGACTAAGTGACTGAGTGAGTGACTGACTGAGTGACTGAGTGAGTGACTGAGTGAGTGACTGAGTGACTGAGTGAGTGACTGAGTGAGTGACTAAGTGAGTGACTAAGTGAGTGACTGAGTGAGTGACTAAGTGAGTGACTGACTAAGTGACTGAGTGAGTGACTGAGTGAGTAACTGACTGAGTGACTAAGTGAGTGACTGAGTGACTAAGTGAGTGACTGAGTGAGTGACTAAGTGACTGAGTGAGTGACTAAGTGAGTGACTAAGTGACTGAGTGAGTGACTGAGTGACTGAGTGAGTGAGTGACTGACTGAGTGACTAAGTGAGTGAGTGACTGAGTGACTGACTGAGTGAGTGAGTGAGTGAGTGACTGAGTGAGTGACTGAGTGAGTGACTGAGTGACTGAGTGAGTGACTAAGTGAGTGACTGAGTGAGTGACTGAGTGACTAACTAAGTGAGTGACTGAGTGACTAACTAAGTGAGTGACTAAGTGAGTGACTGACTGAGTGACTAAGTGAGTGACTGAGTGAGTGACTGAGTGAGTGACTGACTGAGTGACTGAGTGAGTGACTAAGTGACTGACTAAGTGACTGAGTGAGTGACTGAGTGAGTGACTGAGTGAGTGACTGAGTGACTGACTAAGTGACTGACTGAGTGACTAAGTGAGTGACTAAGTGAGTGACTGAGTGAGTGACTAAGTGAGTGACTGAGTGACTGACTGACTGACTCAGTGAGTGAGTGACTGAGTGAGTGACTGAGTGAGTGACTGAGTGAGTGACTGAGTGAGTGATTCACCCTCCAGGCACAGCTGGGTGAAGTTACGGCAAGCCAATGGTGCCTCCTTACTCCACAGCTCCACCTCGAGATCTCCGGCCGAGGTCTTCAGCAGAATCTGGCTCGTCCACGCAACGTCAAAGAGCTTAGTAGCTCTTCTGATTTCCTCCAGTAACCAAACCGAAATCGCCGGGCGTCATTCTACTAAGACGGTGAACATCTCAAAAGCGGCGACGAGACACAGCACAGAGACACACACAGAGACACACACAGAGACACACACAGAGACACACACAGAGACACATACAGAGACACACACAGAGACACACACACAGAGACACAGACAGAGACACACACAGAGACACAGAGACACACAGAGAGACACACACAGAGACACTCACAGAGACACAGACAGAGACACACACAGAGACACACACAGAGACACACACAGAGACACACACAGAGACTCACACAGAGACACAGACAGAGACACACACAGACACACAGAGACACACACAGAGACACACACAGAGACACTCACAGAGACACAGACAGAGACACACACAGAGACACACACAGAGACACAGACAGAGACACACACAGAGACACACACAGAGACACACACAGAGACTCACACAGAGACACAGACAGAGACACACACAGACACACAGAGACACACACAGAGACACACACAGAGACACTCACAGAGACACAGACAGAGACACACACAGAGACACACACAGAGACACACACAGAGACACACACAGAGACTCACACAGAGACACAGACAGAGACACACACAGACACACAGAGACACACACAGAGACACACACAGAGACACTCACAGAGACACAGACAGAGACACACACAGAGACACACACAGAGACACAGACAGAGACACACACAGAGACACACACAGAGACACACACAGAGACTCACACAGAGACACAGACAGAGACACACACAGACACACAGAGACACACACAGAGACACACACAGAGACACTCACAGAGACACAGACAGAGACACACACAGAGACACACACAGAGACACACACAGAGACACACACAGAGACTCACACAGAGACAAAGACAGAGACACACACAGACACACAGAGACACACACAGAGACACACACAGAGACACTCACAGAGACACAGACAGAGACACACACAGAGACACACACAGAGACACACACAGAGACTCACACAGAGACACTCACAGAGACACACAGAGACACACACAGAGACACACACAGAGACACACACAGAGACACACACAGAGACACACACAGAGACACACACAGAGACACACACAGAAACACACACAGAAACACACACAGAGACACACACAGAGACTCACACAGAGACTCACACAGAGACACTCACAGAGACACACAGAGACACACACAGAGACACACACAGAGACACACACAGAGACACACACAGAGACACACACAGAGACACACACAGAGACACACACAGAAACACACACAGAGACACTCACAGAGACACACACAGAGACACACACACAGAGACACACACAGAGACACACACAGAGACACACAGAGACACACACAGAGACACACACAGAGACACACACAGAGACACACACAGAGACACACACACAGAGACACACACAGAGACACACACAGAGACACACACACAGAGACACACACAGAGACACACACAGAGACACACACACAGAGACACACACACAGAGACACACACAGAGACACTCACAGAGACACACACAGAGACTCACACAGAGACACACACAGAGACACACACAGAGCCACACACAGAGACACACACAGAGACACACACACAGAGACACACACAGAGACTCACACAGAGACACACACAGAGACACACACAGAGACACACACAGAGACACATACAGAGAAACACACAGAGACACACACAGAGACACACACAGAGACTCACACAGAGACACATACTCATAGAGACCCACAGAGACCCATACTCATAGAGACCCACAGAGACCCATACAGACAGAGACTCACAGAGACCCATAGAGACCCATACTCATAGAGACCCACAGAGACCCATACAGACAAAGACTCACAGAGACCCATAGAGACCCATACTCACAGAGACCCATAGAGACCCATACTCATAGAGACCCACAGAGACCCATACAGACAGAGACTCACAGAGACCCACAGAGACCCATACTCATAGAGACCCATAGAGACCCATACTCATAGAGACCTACAGAGACTCATAGAGACAGAGACCCACAGAGACCCATACAGACAGAGACTCACAGAGACCCACAGAGACCCATACTCATAGAGACCCACAGAGACCCATACAGACAGAGACTCATAGAGACCCATAGAGACCCATACTCATAGAGACCCACAGAGACCCATACAGACAGAGACTCACAGAGACCCATAGAGACCCATACTCATAGAGACCCACAGAGACCCATACTCATAGAGACCCACAGAGACTCATAGAGACAGAGACTCACAGAGACCCATAGAGACCCATACTCATAGAGACCCATAGAGACCCATACTCATAGAGACCCATAGAGACCCATACTCATAGAGACCCACAGAGACCCATACAGACAGACAGAGACTCACAGAGACCCATAGAGACCCATACTCATAGAGACCCATAGAGACCCATACTCATAGAGACCCATAGAGACCCATACAGACAGACAGAGACTCACAGAGACCCATAGAGACCCATACTCATAGAGACCCACAGAGACCCATACTCATAGAGACCCAGAGACCCATACAGACAGACAGAGACTCACAGAGACCCATAGAGACCCATACTCATAGAGACCCACAGAGACCCATACTCATAGAGACTCACAGAGACCCATAGAGACCCATACTCATAGAGACCCACAGAGACCCATAGAGACAAAGACTCACAGAGACCCATAGAGACCCATACTCATAGAGACCCACAGAGACCCATACAGACAGACAAAGACTCACAGAAACCCATAGAGACCCATACTCATAGAGACTCACAGAGACCCATACTCATAGAGACCCATAGAGACCCATAGAGACAGAGACCCACAGAGACCCATAGAGATCCATACTCACAGAGACCCACAGAGACCCATACTCATAGAGACCCACAGAGACCCATAGAGACAGACAGAGACTCACAGAGACCCATAGAGACCCATACTCATAGAGACCCACAGAGACCCATACAGACAGACAGAGACTCACAGAGACCCATAGAGACCCATACTCATAGAGACCCACAGAGACCCATAGAGACAGACAGAGACTCACAGAGACCCATAGAGACCCATACTCATAGAGACCCACAGAGACCCATAGACCCATACTCATAGAGACCCATAGAGACCCATACTCATAGAGACCCACAGAGACCCATACTCATAGAGACCCACAGAGACCCATAGAGACAGAGACTCACAGAGACCCACAGAGACCCATACTCATAGAGACCCACAGAGACCCATACTCATAGAGACCCACAGAGACCCATACTCATAGAGACTCACAGAGACCCATACTCATAGAGACCCACAGAGACCCATAGAGACCCATACTCATAGAGACCCACAGAGACCCATAGAGACCCATACTCATAGAGACCCACAGAGACCCATACTCATAGAGACCCACAGAGACCCATACTCATAGAGACCCACAGAGACTCATAGAGACAGAGACTCACAGAGACCCATAGAGACCCATACTCATAGAGACCCACAGAGACCCATACTCATAGAGACCCACAGAGACCCATACTCATAGAGACCCACAGAGACCCATACTCATAGAGACCCACAGAGACTCATAGAGACAGAGACTCACAGAGACCCATAGAGACCCATACTCATAGAGACCCACAGAGACCCATACATACAGAGACTCACAGAGACCCATAGAGACCCATACTCATAGAGACCCACAGAGACCCATACTCATAGAGACCCACAGAGACCCATACAGACAGACAAAGACTCACAGAGACCCATAGAGACCCATACTCATAGAGACCCATAGAGACCCATACTCATAGAGACCCACAGAGACCCATACAGACAGAGACTCACAGAGACCCATAGAGACCCATACTCATAGAGACCCATAGAGATCCATACTCATAGAGACCCACAGAGACCCATACATACAGAGACTCACAGAGACCCATAGAGACCCATACTCATAGAGACCCACAGAGACCCATACAGACAGAGACTCACAGAGACCCATAGAGACCCATACTCATAGAGACCCACAGAGACCCATACTCATAGAGACCCACAGAGACCCATACAGACAGACAAAGACTCACAGAGACCCATAGAGACCCATACTCATAGAGACCCACAGAGACCCATACAGACAGACAAAGACTCACAGAAACCCATAGAGACCCATACTCATAGAGACCCACAGAGACCCATACTCATAGAGACTCACAGAGACCCACAGAGACCCATACTCATAGAGACCCACAGAGACCCATACAGACAGAGACTCACAGAGACCCATAGAGACCCATACTCATAGAGACCCACAGAGACCCATACAGACAGAGACTCACAGAGACCCATAGAGACCCATACTCATAGAGACCCACAGAGACCCATACAGACAGACAAAGACTCACAGAGACCCATAGAGACCCATACTCATAGAGACCCACAGAGACCCATACAGACAGACAGAGACTCACAGAGACCCACAGAGACCCATACTCATAGAGACCCACAGAGACCCATACAGACAGACAGAGACTCACAGAGACCCATAGAGACCCATACTCATAGAGACCCACAGAGACCCATACTCATAGAGACCCACAGAGACCCATACAGACAGAGACTCACAGAGACCCATAGAGACCCATACTCATAGAGACCCACAGAGACCCATAGAGACAGAGACTCACAGAGACCCATAGAGACCCATACTCATAGAGACCCACAGAGACCCATACTCATAGAGACCCACAGAGACCCATACTCATAGAGACCCATAGAGACCCATACAGACAGACAAAGACTCACAGAGACCCATAGAGACCCATACTCATAGAGACCCATAGAGACCCATACAGACAGACAGAGACTCATAGAGACCCACAGAGACCCATACTCATAGAGACCCACAGAGACCCATACTCATAGAGACCCATACAGACAGAGACTCACAGAGACCCATAGAGACCCATACTCATAGAGACCCACAGAGACCCATACAGACAGACAGAGACTCACAGAGACCCATAGAGACCCATACTCATAGAGACCCATAGAGACCCATACTCATAGAGACCCAGAGACCCATACAGACAGACAGAGACTCACAGAGACCCATAGAGACCCATACTCATAGAGACCCACAGAGACCCACACAGACAGAGACTCACAGAGACCCATAGAGACCCATACTCATAGAGACCCACAGAGACCCATACTCATAGAGACCCACAGAGACCCACACAGACAAAGACTCACAGAGACCCACAGAGACCCATACTCATAGAGACCCACAGAGACCCATACAGACAGACAGAGACTCACAGAGACCCATACTCATAGAGACCCACAGAGACCCATACAGACAAAGACTCACAGAGACCCATAGAGACCCATACTCATAGAGACCCACAGAGACCCATACAGACAGAGACTCACAGAGACCCATAGAGACCCATACTCATAGAGACCCACAGAGACCCATACAGACAGAGACTCACAGAGACCCATAGAGACCCATACTCATAGAGACTCACAGAGACCCATACAGACAGAGACTCACAGAGACCCATAGAGACCCATACTCATAGAGACCCACAGAGACCCATACAGACAGATAAAGACTCACAGAGACCCATAGAGACCCATACTCATAGAGACCCATAGAGACCCATAGAGACAGAGACTCACAGAGACCCATAGAGACCCATACTCATAGAGACCCACAGAGACCCATACTCATAGAGACCCACAGAGACTCACACTCATAGAGACCCACAGAGACCCATACTCATAGAGACCCATAGAGACCCATACTCACAGAGACCCATAGAGACCCATACTCATAGAGACCCACAGAGACCCATACAGACAGAGACTCACAGAGACCCATAGAGACAGACAGAGACTCACAGAGACCCACAGAGACCCATACTCACAGAGACCCATAGAGACCCATACTCATAGAGACCCACAGAGACCCATAGAGACCCATACTCATAGAGACCTACAGAGACCCATACAGACAGACAGAGACTCACAGAGACCCACAGAGACCCATACTCATAGAGACCCACAGAGACTCATAGAGACAGAGACTCACAGAGACCCATAGAGACCCATACTCATAGAGACCCACAGAGACCCATACAGACAAAGACTCACAGAGACCCATACAGACAGAGACTCATAGAGACCCACAGAGACCCATAGAGACAGAGACTCATAGAGACCCATAGAGACCCTACTCATAGAGACCCACAGAGACCCATACAGACAGAGACTCATAGAGACCCATAGAGATCCATACTCATAGAGACCCACAGAGACCCATACAGACAGAGACTCACAGAGACCCATAGAGACCCATACTCATAGAGACCCACAGAGACCCATACAGACAGAGACTCACAGAGACCCATAGAGACCCATACTCATAGAGACCCACAGAGACCCATACAGACAGAGACTCACAGAGACCCATAGAGACCCATACTCATAGAGACTCACAGAGACCCATAGAGACAGAGACTCACAGAGACCCACAGAGACCCATACTCATAGAGACCCACAGAGACCCATAGAGACAGAGACTCACAGAGACCCATAGAGACCCATACTCATAGAGACCCATAGAGACCCATACTCACAGAGACCCATAGAGACCCATACTCATAGAGACCCACAGAGACCCATAGAGACCCATAGAGACTCACAGAGACCCACAGAGACCCATACAGACAGACAGAGACTCACAGAGACCCATAGAGACCCATACTCATAGAGACCCACAGAGACCCATACATACAGAGACTCACAGAGACTCATAGAGACCCATAGAGACCCATACTCATAGAGACCCATAGAGACCCATACTCATAGAGACTCACAGAGACTCATAGAGACAGAGACTCACAGAGACCCACAGAGACCCATACTCATAGAGACCCACAGAGACCCATACAGACAGAGACTCATAGAGACCCATACAGACAGAGACTCACAGAGACCCACAGAGACCCATACTCATAGAGACCCACAGAGACCCATAGAGACAGAGACTCATAGAGACCCATAGAGACCCATACTCATAGAGACCCACAGAGACCCATACAGACAGAGACTCACAGAGACCCATAGAGACCCATACTCATAGAGACCCACAGAGACCCATACAGACAGAGACTCACAGAGACCCATAGAGACCCATACTCATAGAGACCCATAGAGACCCATACTCATAGAGACCTACAGAGACCCATACAGACAGACAGAGACTCACAGAGACCCACAGAGACCCATACTCATAGAGACCCACAGAGACCCATACAGACAGAGACTCACAGAGACCCATAGAGATCCATACTCATAGAGACCCACAGAGACCCATACTCATAGAGATGGTGGTGGTGGTGGTGGTGAAGATGATGATGGGGTGGTGATGATAGTGATGATGATGATGGTGGTGATGGTGATTATGGTAATGATAGTGTCGGTGGTGATGTTGATAGTGATGATTGTGATGATAGTGATGGTGGTGGTGATGGTGGTGGTGATTATGGTAATGATATTCGTGATGGTGATGATGGTGGTGATGTTGATGGTGATGATGATGGTGGTGGTGATGTTGATTATGGTAATGATAGTGGTGATGGTCGTGACAGTGGTGATGGTAGTGATGATGATGGTAGTGATGTTGATGGTGGTGATGGTAGTGATGGTGGTGATGGTAGTGATGGTGATGATGGTGGTGATGGTAGTGATGGTAATTGTGATGATGGTGATGATGGTGATGATGGTGGTGATGATGATGATGGTAGTGATGGTGGTGATGGTAGTGATGGTGATGATGGTGGTGATGGTAGTGATGGTGGTGATGGTAGTGATGGTGGTGATGGTAGTGATGATGGTGATGGTGGTGATGGTAGTGATGGTGGTGATGGTAGTGATGGTGGTGATGATAGTGATGGTGGTGATGATAGTGATGGTAGTGGTGGTGATGATGGTAGTGATGATGGTGATGATGATGGTGATGGTAATTGTGATGATGATGGTGATGATGATGGTGGTGATGGTAGTGATGGTAATTGTGATGATGGTGGTGATGGTAGTGATGGTGATGATGGTGGTGATGGTAGTGATGGTGGTGATGGTAGTGATGGTTATTGTGATGATGGTGATGATGGTGATGGTGGTGATGATGATGGTGATGATGGTAGTGGTAGTGATGATGATGGTGGTGATGGTAGTGATGGTGGTGATGGTAGTGATGGTGGTGATGGTAGTGATGGTGATGATGATGGTGATGATAATTGTGATGATGGTGGTGATGGTGGTAGTGATGCTGTTGATGGTGATGATGGTAGTGATGGTGATGGTAGTGATGGTGGTGATGGTGGTGATGGTAGTGATGGTGATGATGGTGGTAGTGATGGTGATGATGGTAGTGATGGTGATGATGGTAGTGATGGTGATGATGGTAGTGATGGTGGTGATGGTAGTGATGGTGATGATGGTGATGATGATGGTAGTGATGGTAGTGATGATGGTAGTGATGGTGGTGATGGTAGTGATGGTTATTGTGATGATGATGGTGATGATGGTGGTAGTGATGATGGTAGTGATGGTGGTGATGATGATGGTGGTGATGGTAGTGATGGTTATTGTGATGATGATGGTGATGATGATGGTGGTGGTAGTGATGATGGTAGTGATGATGGTGGTAGTGATGGTAGTGATGGTGATGATGATGGTAGTGATGGTGATGGTAGTGATGGTGGTGATGGTAGTGATGATGGTAGTGATGGTAGTGATGGTGGTGATGATGATGGTGATGATGATGGTGGTGATGGTAGTGATGGTGATGATGGTAGTGATGGTGATGATGGTAGTGATGGTGATGATGGTGATGATGGTGGTGATGGTAGTGATGGTAATTGTGATGATGATGGTGGTGATGGTGGTAGTGATGCTATTGATGGTGATGATGGTAGTGATGGTGGTGATGGTAGTGATGGTGGTGATGGTGGTGATGGTAGTGATGGTGGTGGTGATGATGGTGGTGATGGTGGTGATGGTGGTAGTGATGGTGATGATGGTAGTGATGGTGATGATGGTAGTGATGGTGATGATGGTGATGATGATGGTAGTGATGGTGATGATGGTGGTGATGTTAGTGATGCTAATTGTGATGATGGTGGTAGTGATGCTGTTGATGGTGATGATGATGGTAGTGATGGTGATGATGGTGATGATGATGGTAGTGATGATGATGGTGGTGATGTTAGTGATGGTGATTGTGATGATGGTACCACACGGACTTACCTTTCCATTTGTGGGAGGCTCCTGAATGTAAATGTTACTCATGGCTGCCCGATGCCTGTTAAAAATATATAATCACTAATCAATAGAACAAATAACCCTCTGGGTTATTGATCATTTAAATCGATTTATCAAAATCAGCACCACAGACTCGAATCTATCCGAGCCAAGCGAACTCTGCTAGGCCCGGACCAAACCATTAGCGCCAACATCACTTAGGCGGGGGGGGGGGGAGAGGGGTTAATCAATAAGTTAATACGAAACTAATTACGTTAAACTATCGCTGCAGTCAAGCAGGGAGCGATCGATAGTCGTCACCTAATAGATTTTAATGTCCATGTGTTTATCGTTTAGGGTTTTATTGTGCTGAAAGTAATGGTTTTGTTGTTATTATTTAGAATTTTTTTTTAAAAACCCCCCTCTTTGAAACTAAGCCACTTGGTATCGTCCGAGTTGATTCAAGCGGGCGGACGGAAGCCGCCGTGGGATTTGATGAAGAAAAATGAGAAACGCGATTGGTAAATAGTCTATGGGTAGTGTTAGTGTATGGGCAGTGTTAGTCTATGGGTAGTGTTAGTGTATGGGTAGTGTTAGTCTATGGGTAGTGTTAGTGTATGGGTAGTGTTAGTGTATGGGTAGTGTTAGTGTATGGGTAGTGTTAGTCTATGGGTAGTGTTAGTGTATGGGTAGTGTTAGTCTGTGGGTAGTGTTAGTGTATGTGTAGTGTTAGTGTATGGGTAGTGTTAGTCTATGGGTGGTGTTAGTCTATGGGTAGTGTTAGTCTATGGGAAGTGTTAGTCTATGGGTAGTGTTAGTGTGTGGGTAGTGTTAGTCTATGGGTAGTGTTAGTCTATGGGTAGTGTTAGTGTATGGGTAGTGTTAGTCTGTGGGTAGTGTTAGTGTATGGGTAGTGTTAGTGTATGGGTAGTGTTAGTCTGTGGGTAGTGTTAGTGTATGGGTAGTGTTAGTGTATGGGTAGTGTTAGTCTGTGGGTAGTGTTAGTGTATGGGTAGTGTTAGTGTATGGGTAGTGTTAGTCTGTGGGTAGTGTTAGTGTATGGGTAGTGTTAGTGTATGGGTAGTGTTAGTCTGTGGGTAGTGTTAGTGTATGGGTAGTGTTAGTCTATGGGTAGTGTTAGTCTATGGGTAGTGTTAGTCTATGGTGTAGTGTTAGTGTATGGGTAGTGTTAGTCTATGGGTAGTGTTAGTGTATGGGTAGTGTTAGTGTATGGGTAGTGTTAGTGTGTGGGTAGTGTTAGTCTATGGGTAGTGTTAGTCTATGGGTAGTGTTAGTCTATGGGTAGTGTTAGTGTATGGGTAGTGTTAGTGTATGGGTAGTGTTAGTGTGTGGGTAGTGTTAGTCTATGTGTAGTGTTAGTCTATGGGTTGTGTTAGTGTATGGGCAGTGTTAGTGTATGGGTAGTGTTAGTCTATGGGTAGTGTTAGTCTATGGGTAGTGTTAGTGCAGTGTTAGTCTATGGGTAGTGTTAGTCTGTGGGTAGTGTTAGTCTATGGGTAGTGTTAGTCTGTGGGTAGTGTTAGTCTATGGGTAGTGTTAGTGTATGGGCAGTGTTAGTCTATGGGTAGTGTTAGTCTATGGGTAGTGTTAGTGTATGGGTAGTGTTAGTCTATGGGTGGTGTTAGTGTATGGGCAGTGTTAGTCTATGGGTAGTGTTAGTCTGTGGGTAGTGTTAGTCTATGGGTAGTGTTAGTCTATGGGTAGTGTTAGTGTATGGGTAGTGTTAGTCTATGGGTAGTGTTAGTCTATGGGTAGTGTTAGTCTATGGGTAGTGTTAGTCTATGGGTAGTGTTAGTCTATGGGTAGTGGTAGTGTATGGGTAGTGTTAGTGTATGGGTAGTGTTAGTGTGTGGGTAGTGTTAGTCTATGGGTAGTGTTAGTGTATGGGTAGTGTTAGTGTATGGGTAGTGTTAGTCTTTGGGTAGTGTTAGTGTATGGGTAGTGTTAGTCTATGGGTAGTGTTAGTCTATGGGTAGTGTTAGTGTGTGGGTAGTGTTAGTGTATCGGTAGTGTTAGTCTGTGGGTAGTGTTAGTCTATGGGTAGTGTTAGTCTATGGGTAGTGTTAGTCTATGGGTAGTGTTAGTCTATGGGTAGTGTTAGTGTATGGGTAGTGTTAGTGTATGGGTGGTGTTAGTGTATGGGTAGTGTTAGTGTATGGGTAGTGTTAGTCTATGGGTAGTGTTAGTCTATGGGTAGTGTTAGTCTATGGGTAGTGTTAGTCTATGGGTAGTGTTAGTGTATGGGTAGTGTTAGTCTATGGGTAGTGTTAGTGTATGGGTAGTGTTAGTGTATGGGTAGTGTTAGTGTGTGGGTAGTGTTAGTCTATGGGTAGTGTTAGTCTATGGGTAGTGGTAGTGTGTGGGTAGTGTTAGTCTATGGGCAGTGTTAGTGTGTGGGTAGTGTTAGTGTATGGGTGGTGTTAGTGTATGGGTAGTGTTAGTGTATGGGTAGTGTTAGTCTATGGGTAGTGTTAGTCTATGGGTAGTGTTAGTGTGTGGGTAGTGTTAGTCTATGGGTAGTGTTAGTCTATGGGTAGTGTTAGTGTATGGGTAGTGTTAGTCTATGGGTAGTGTTAGTGTATGGGTAGTGTTAGTCTATGGGTAGTGTTAGTCTATGGGTAGTGTTAGTCTATGGGTAGTGTTAGTCTATGGGTAGTGTTAGTATATGGGTAGTGTTAGTCTATGGGTAGTGTTAGTGTATGGGTAGTGTTAGTCTATGGGTAGTGTTAGTCTATGGGTAGTGTTAGTGTATGGGTAGTGTTAGTCTGTGGGTAGTGTTAGTCTATGGGCAGTGTTAGTGTATGGGCAGTGTTAGTGTATGGGTAGTGTTAGTGTATGGGTAGTGTTAGTCTATGGGCAGTGTTAGTGTATGGGTAGTGTTAGTCTATGGGTAGTGTTAGTCTATGGGCAGTGTTAGTGTATGGGCAGTGTTAGTGTATGGGTAGTGTTAGTCTATGGGTAGTGTTAGTGTATGGGTAGTGTTAGTCTATGGGTAGTGTTAGTCTATGGGCAGTGTTAGTGTATGGGCAGTGTTAGTGTATGGGTAGTGTTAGTCTATGGGTAGTGTTAGTCTATGGGTAGTGTTAGTCTATGGGTAGTGTTAGTGTGTGGGTAGTGTTAGTGTATGGGTAGTGTTAGTGTATGGGTAGTGTTAGTCTATGGGTAGTGTTAGTCTATGGGTGGTGTTAGTGTATGGGTAGTGTTAGTCTATGGGTAGTGTTAGTGTGTGGGTAGTGTTAGTGTATGGGGAGTGTTAGTATATGGGTAGTGTTAGTCTATGGGTGGTGTTAGTGTATGGGTAGTGTTAGTCTGTGGGTAGTGTTAGTGTATGGGTAGTGTTAGTGTATGGGTAGTGTTAGTCTGTGGGTAGTGTTAGTGTATGGGTAGTGTTAGTCTATGGGTAGTGTTAGTGTGTGGGTAGTGTTAGTGTATGGGGAGTGTTAGTGTATGGGTAGTATTAGTCTATGGGTGGTGTTAGTGTATGGGTAGTGTTAGTCTGTGGGTAGTGTTAGTGTATGGGTAGTGTTAGTGTATGGGTAGTGTTAGTCTATGGGCTAACACAGGGTTCAGTGTTAATGAGTGAGACTCCCATAGGGTTCAGTGTTAATGAGTGAGACTCCCACAGGGTTCAGTGTTAATGAGTGAGGCTCCCATAGGGTTCAGTGTTAATGAGTGAGACTCCAACAGGGTTCAGTGTTAATGAGTGAGACTCCCATAGGGTTCAGTGTTAATGAGTGAGACTCCAATAGGGTTCAGTGTTAATGAGTGAGACTCCCATAGGGTTCAGTGTTAATGTGTGAGACTCCCACAGGGTTCAGTGTTAATGAGTGAGACTCCCATAGGGTTCAGTGTTAATGAGTGAGACTCCCATAGGGTTCAGTGTTAATGAGTGAGACTCCCATAGGGTTCAGTGTTAATGAGTGAGACTCCCATAGGGTTCAGTGTTAATGAGTGAGACTCCCATAGGGTTCAGTGTTAATGAGTGAGACTCCCATAGGGTTCAGTGTTAATGAGTGAGACTCCCATAGGGTTCAGTGTTAATGAGTGAGACTCCCATAGGGTTCAGTGTTAATGTGTGAGACTCCCATAGGGTTCAGTGTTAATGAGTGAGACTCCCATAGGGTTCAGTGTTAATGAGTGAGACTCCCATAGGGTTCAGTGTTAATGAGTGAGACTCCCATAGGGTTCAGTGTTAATGAGTGAGACTCCCATAGGGTTCAGTGTTAATGAGTGAGACTCCCATAGGGTTCAGTGTTAATGAGTGAGACTCCCACAGGGTTCAGTGTTAATGAGTGAGACTCCCATAGGGTTCAGTGTTAATGAGTGAGACTCCCATAGGGTTCAGTGTTAATGAGTGAGACTCCCATAGGGTTCAGTGTTAATGAGTGAGACTCCCACTAGGGTTCAGTGTTAATGAGTGAGACTCCCACTAGGGTTCAGTGTTAATGAGTGAGACTCCCAGTAGGGTTCAGTGTTAATGAGTGAGACTCCCATAGGGTTCAGTGTTAATGAGTGAGACTCCCACAGGGTTCAGTGTTAATGGGTGAGACTCCCATAGGGTTCACTGTTAATGAGTGAGACTCCCACAGGGTTCAGTGTTAATGTGTGAGACTCCCATAGGGTTCAGTGTTAATGAGTGAGACTCCCATAGGGTTCAGTGTTAATGAGTGAGACTCCCATAGGGTTCAGTGTTAATGAGTGAGACTCCCATAGGGTTCAGTGTTAATGAGTGAGACTCCCATAGGGTTCAGTGTTAATGAGTGAGACTCCCACAGGGTTCAGTGTTAATGGGTGAGACTCCCATAGGGTTCAGTGTTAATGAGTGAGACTCCCACAGGGTTCAGTGTTAATGTGTGAGACTCCCATAGGGTTCAGTGTTAATGAGTGAGACTCCCATAGGGTTCAGTGTTAATGAGTGAGACTCCCATAGGGTTCAGTGTTAATGTGTTAGGCTCGCATAGGGTTCAGTGTTAATGAGTGAGACTCCCATAGGGTTCAGTGTTAATGAGTGAGACTCCCATAGGGTTCAGTGTTAATGAGTGAGACTCCCATAGGGTTCAGTGTTAATGAGTGAGACTCCCATAGGGTTCAGTGTTAATGAGTGAGACTCCCATAGGGTTCAGTGTTAATGAGTGAGACTCCCATAGGGTTCAGTGTTAATGAGTGAGACTCCCATAGGGTTCAGTGTTAATGAGTGAGACTCCCATAGGGTTCAGTGTTAATGAGTGAGACTCCCATAGGGTTCAGTGTTAATGAGTGAGACTCCCATAGGGTTCAGTGTTAATGAGTGAGACTCCCATAGGGTTCAGTGTTAATGAGTGAGACTCCCACTAGGGTTCAGTGTTAATGAGTGAGACTCCCACTAGGGTTCAGTGTTAATGAGTGAGACTCCCATAGGGTTCAGTGTTAATGAGTGAGACTCCCATAGGGTTCAGTGTTAATGAGTGAGACTCCCATAGGGTTCAGTGTTAATGAGTGAGACTCCCATAGGGTTCAGTGTTAATGAGTGAGACTCCCATAGGGTTCAGTGTTAATGAGTGAGACTCCCATAGGGTTCAGTGTTAATGAGTGAGACTCCCATAGGGTTCAGTGTTAATGAGTGAGACTCCCATAGGGTTCAGTGTTAATGAGTGAGACTCCCATAGGGTTCAGTGTTAATGAGTGAGACTCCCACAGGGTTCAGTGTTAATGTGTGAGACTCCCACAGGGTTCAGTGTTAATGAGTGAGACTCCCATAGGGTTCAGTGTTAATGAGTGAGACTCCCATAGGGTTCAGTGTTAATGAGTGAGACTCCCATAGGGTTCAGTGTTAATGGGTGAGACTCCCATAGGGTTCAGTGTTAATGAGTGAGACTCCCATAGGGTTCAGTGTTAATGAGTGAGACTCCCATAGGGTTCAGTGTTAATGAGTGAGACTCCCATAGGGTTCAGTGTTAATGAGTGAGACTCCCACTTGGGTTCAGTGTTAATGGGTGAGACTCCCATAGGGTTCAGTGTTAATGAGTGAGACTCCCATAGGGTTCAGTGTTAATGAGTGAGACTCCCATAGGGTTCAGTGTTAATGAGTGAGACTCCCATAGGGTTCAGTGTTAATGAGTGAGACTCCCATAGGGTTCAGTGTTAATGAGTGAGACTCCCATAGGGTTCAGTGTTAATGAGTGAGACTCCCATAGGGTTCAGTGTTAATGAGTGAGACTCCCATAGGGTTCAGTGTTAATGAGTGAGACTCCCATAGGGTTCAGTGTTAATGAGTGAGACTCCCATAGGGTTCAGTGTTAATGAGTGAGACTCCCATAGGGTTCAGTGTTAATGAGTGAGACTCCCATAGGGTTCAGTGTTAATGAGTGAGACTCCCATAGGG